TATTTACATTTTTTTAAAAAACACTCTTGTGCCTCGTGTCATCCCTCGTTTTCAAAGATGGCCGTTCATTCAATCCGTAGTTCATCCGAGAAGTTCAAGCACTTATGTCTAGTTTGAGCTAAGTCACACTTTCATACTGATATTTAAATGCAACTGAAGTCACTTCAACAAGTGACTATTACTGATCTAAAACGTAAAGAAATCCTTGTTGAAAGCTAGCTCATTCCCTCAAGCCATTCAAGAATTTCGGGAGCTAATGATTCACAACACTTCTCTTCTCTCTAATCCTGAAACAGATCAAGACAAAACACTTTGAGTAGTTACTAAACCTTACGTACCGTGTGTTATGACGTGTGGTGCGCATAAATCTACATAAGTTTAACCTGGTTTTTACTTTTCTGAACGGTCGCAACAGCGGTCATATCAGCCAAGAAGTGTCATGAGAGAGACAGGCCAGAAAAAGGTCTGTAGCTAGTAGGTAAACACTTTGCCTCTCGTTTAACCAGGATATTTACTCAGTCTTTTCAAGTTACTTTCTTTGTCTTTATACATGCACGAGGTCTATTTCTTAATATTATTCCTAAGACTATTTCTTACACAGGTTCCTCGTGGACGTTGAACCCTTGCAAGGAAAAAACAGACTCGAATACTTATCATGGACTCGAAGGTGCACAGATGCATTCTTATGCAAACTTAAGCATCTCGGATTACGTTTTCTTTAGCCAAAATTAACATTGCAACATCGCCTGACCTGATTTTTGTTCAGACACTAAGGACGATACATTTACCTTTTTTCAAGGGAGCAACATCTCAAACATAACTGAACCATTGTTGAAAGTAACTTCGTTGAACAAGCCCCCATTTGTAGAAATAACATAAACAGAAGGACAAAGGAGCCCAAGAATCAATGAAATGGATAGGAATGGACGTAAAAACCACTCCGAAAACAAAGAAACCCACGACTGAAGTGAGACTAGAGAAGAAATTAGTGCCTTTGTGGTAAACACTAAGCCTGCAGTAGAACCAAAATATGTACTTCTTTTTGCTTATCTCTCTATATCTCTACCTATGCACGAGGTTGAATCTTGATTTTTCTAGCTCATTCAACTTGCTCCTGCAAGTTGATTATCATGTTCTAAGCATGTCTCCTAATGCTGCATGAAACGAAAACACTGCAAACAAAATGGCGCGTTGCAACGACGCATCATGGTTCTTTAGACAAAAACCACTGGTGTAAGCTATTATGCGAAATCGGCGAATGAGGTCTAGATGGGTTTACACTGGGAGTCATCTCTTTTATCGCGCTCTTTTTCTTCTATTCCTTTCAATAAATCAACAAGACTTTGCCAGAATTGGGAACACGAAAACTTGGGAATAATAAGCCTCGTGAACAATGGAGCCACCTTCAAGTAAATGTCAAGACATCCTTGCTCTATATCTCGTTACATCTAATTGCCACAAGCTTTTCTTAAGAGTTTTTTGGGAAATATGATGAATGCAAGGCCACTTATTTCATTTTTGTGAAACACACTATTGTCTCTTGTATCATTCCTCGTTCTCAAAGACTGCAGACAGTGTGGACCTTGATGGACCTTTATTCAATCTGTTAATTATCCGCGAATTTTATGTACTTCTAACTAGTTTAAGCTAAGTAACACTCTGATATGAAACTGCTACTGATCCTGGCCAAAAAAAAACAGTTTCGATAAACCGATATTGGGATTTAACTTGTCGTTATTTACGAAGCTCTCATTTTTGGGGAAAGCACATATACAGAAAGACCAAGGAGTTAAAAACCAATAAAATGGATCTGAATCGCTTTCAAAAGCACGGTCTCTTTTGTGATTCCTTGTTCTCAAAGATTGCAGATAATGTGGACCTCGATGGCCTTTTATTGAGTCTGTAGTTTATCTGAGAATTTCATACACATATGAATAGTTCAGGCTTTATAACTAGTTCAAGCTAAGTTACGCTCTAGTACTGAAATTTAACTGCTGCTGATCCTCACAACAACAAAAGAACTATCATGCGAAATCGGCGGATGAGATGGATTTAAAAAAGAATCATCCTTTTAATCAACCTTTTTTTCATTCTATTCCTTTCGATGAATCAACTAAACTTTGGCGTAATGTTAGGAACACAGAGATTTGGGAATCAA